AAAAATGCACTAGGGGACCCCGAGATTCTTAAAGCTTTTCCATAAAAAAACATTAGGAGACCCTGAGATTTTTAAAGATTATTTTAGAAAAAGCACTAGGGGATCCCGAAATTATTAAAACGCTTAACCATAAAAAAGTAGTACAGGACCTCAAGATTCTTGAAGCTTATCCGTAAAAAAACACTTTGAGATTCTTTCAAATTCTCTAAAAAAAAAACACACTTGAGGACCCTGAAATGCTTAAAAAGCTTATCCGTAAAAAGCATTAGAAAACCCCGTGACTCTTAAGGCTTATACATAAAAAAGCACTAAGATTCCCAGATTCTTAAAAAGCTTATCCATAAGAAAGCACTGGGGGATCCCAAGATTCTTAAAGCTTATCCATAAAAAAAGCTCTAGTGGACCCCGAGATCCTTAAAACTTTTCCATAAAAAAAAACACTTGGGGATCCCGAGATTCTTAAAGATTCTCTTAGAAAAAAACACTACGGGCCCTGAGATTATTAAAAAGGTTATTCAAAAAAAAGTACTAGAGGATCTCGAGATTCTTAAAGCTTAGCCATAAAAAAGCACTAGGGGACCCCGAGATTCTTAAAGCTTTTCCAAAAAAAAAAAAACATTAGGGGACCCTGAGATTTTTAAAGATTATTTTAGAAAAAGCACTAGGGGATCCTGAAATTATTAAAACGCTTAACCATAAAAAAGTAGTACAGGACCTCAAGATTCTTGAAACCTATCCGTAAAAAAACACTTGGGTATCCCGAGATTTTTAAAGCTCCTCTCTAAAAACAGACAAAAAAGGCACTAAAATAAGGGATCATGAGGTTTTTAAAGCTTTTTTAAAAAAAGCACTAGGAGACTCCGAGATTCTTTCAAATTCTCTTAAAGAAAAACACACACTTGAGGACCCCGACATTCTTAAAAAGCTTATCTACAAAAAGCATTAGGGAACTGCAAGATTCTCAAAGCTTATCCATAAAAAACACAAGGGGGGTTCGAGATTCTTTCGCGTTTTAGAAAAAGATAACAATAGCGATCCCGAGATTCTTAAAAAGCTTATCCATAAGAAAGCATTAGGGGATCCCAAGATTCTTAAAGCTTATCCATAAAAAATAAAGTTAAAGATTTATCATTAAAAAATAAAATTTTCAAAACTAAATTGTACTCCTAATTTTTCGAAGAAGCCGTATTTGTTGGACTGAATAATAACCTTCGACCAATTTTTGAAAATGAAAATACAACAGCTAACACCTACTTTTAGAGAGTAGATTTGTCTTTGATAGAATTTTGTCTTGTGAAATTACCGCCAATTTAAAAGTTTGAGTTGAAAATGCAACATTCAAAGACCACCTGTCAAAAATCTATGGCTGCTTTTGATTGTATTTTTGATTGCCCTCTCGGTAATTTGTAAATCCGTCTTGAGTTTTAAGGTTATCGTAAACATGCTAATCGTTAATCAAAATTTAACCGTTCCCAATTGATTACGTTATCTAAAATGTCCAAAATTTTATCATTCAACACTATATTATGAGTCCATACTTATAGTTTATCATGCACATTATTACTTATACAGGTACCTCAAAAAATTAATGAACGAGAAAAATTATTTTGTTGATCAAATCAAGAACGGCTTACCCTATTTTTCCGAAATTTTGGAATGCAATATTATTATTATTAGTAGTAGACTGCACCTCTTCAAATTGATATATACGTGTCTTTGATAAAATATTGATAACATTTTGTAATGGAAGTTCTATCTAAATAACCGTAGACCATTTTTTTTTGTAAAGTGAGTCTGCTTAATAAAGGAATTTGCTTCAAAGGCATATTAAAAACCGATTACTTTTTTTATCGTATAGTTTATATGTATGTTCCAAATCAACTGTCGTTTAGCAATGTTAATGTATACTTTAGTGTTTCAGCAACTCTTGCCTGATAATAAATTGAGCCGATTTTTCTACAGCTGCATTCACTTTGTATAAAAAAAGTTACGAAAAACATTATTTTTACATTTCATAGCATAAACACGACTAGAAGTACAAATTGAACACGATCAATCTTAAAGAAAAATAGCCAGGGCTATTTCAAAAATATTTCAGATTACGTACAAGAAAATACCAGAATCATTGGGTACTAAAAAGTAATAAACGGGGAGCTCACAAACAAAATTAAAATGGTATACAAAGTGTAATGTATAAAACATGTATAAAACTTATTCTTTTGGTCTATGGGTATGTAATTTTTTCTCGTAAAATATTATTAATGTAAAGAGTGTTTTGTTTAAAGTGTAATTTAAATTAAGTAAATAAAATATTGTTGATTTTTAAGCTATGGTTTTGCTTGCACGTTTTTTTTTTCGGGAGTGTTGACCATTGGTTGAGACTGTTTTTTATTTCCCAGTCGATAACTAAAATAGATGTACTGTATTCGATTATACGAATAAGCCCGGAAACTACTTACCTATCCGTTTACATTGAAATTTTTATTTTAATATCGGGAAGATAGCACAATGATAACTTGATAACAAATGTGCACATTAACTCCCCCTGTCAAAGTTTGTTAACTAAATATCCCTTGCATGTGCAGCTGGACACACTATTCACCTATAGGGTTTAGTAATCCCTCTAATTTTTAACTGTAGGTACTTTCCAAAAAATTGAAGGCCAACTTTCAGGGCTTCTTCGGGCATATGTTTGGATATTCTAATAACAATGCAACGGACTGTACTGAATTAAAAAAAATCACATGCAAAATTGATGATGTCTTAAAATGGTATTGGTAAACTTTGCATATGATGTAAGCGTGGCATTTTTCTTTGCCTCTGAATTAATGATCCACCTCCATTCGTAACATTTTGCTGTCTGGGTTATCCTCAAAAAATAAAATTTATGCAATTAAATTTCATTTAAGAAATTACAAAATGGATCTGGTTGAATGAATAATTGCAGAATGTTAACTAAAATTTGTCTAGTTATCACCTCGAGAAAGTTATGACGTCCTCTCCAAACATTGTTAAACTTAATTTGTTAAGAAATGCAAAAAATTTACCCAAAGATGCTATACTAATCGTGGTCTAGTAATCTGCTTTTAACAGCAAATATAGTGGTGGTGTCCTAAGATGGAGGGAGGGGTTATAAATAATTTGACATATTTTCTTTATTCTGTATTGGAAGCTAGTCTGATTGCACTCTGCGTTAAAAAAAGGTTATTTCCTTAGTGACATTTGCCCCATTTATTAAGTTTTTATAGCACAAACGTGTGCATTAAAATAAATGTCACTAGTGACCTTAAAATTACCTTGAATATTGTAATATTAATTTTTATGTAATTATTATAGTGTTTCGATTTGGCACATTCATAACTTACGTAAGTGTACGTGAGTTGGTAATGACATCACGTTTGACATGCATAATTAAATAAACGAAAAGTGACAGGAGAGTTTTTTTAATTTGAACACAATGTACTACATGCAGCCATGAAAACTTTTTTAAAGTCCCTGCATTAAAGTTTTCAGATATGTGATTAATTTACTGTTACTGCAAGGCAATTAAAATCTTTAATTGTTTGACAACAGTGCGCATGCGGGAATGGTGCTTCAGTGTACAGTGTGAAGACGAAGCGGCACAATATTTGCTTTTATAATAAGGGTTGCAGGGTACGTTCAATCGTTTCCGCTTGCGTGTTATATAATGCATAGTGTCAGGGTTCCGGGTGTAAATGGAACCGAGTTCCACGAATTGACTCGTTATTTCAACTGCACTGTAACAAGAACGTAACCACGTTCCTAGTTAATATTGAACTTTCGTCGAACCGGAAACAGATGCAGTTTGACTTGAGTTTTAAATTGGTTTTATAGTAATTTATGTTTCTAGGAGTAGCTGTAAAGCAGAGATGGATGTTGTATTTAAAATAAAATAAAACTGTAAAAAATTCGTGTGTTTAAGATTTTATGCTTCCTAAAACCGCTGTAGTATTGGTGGTGATGACAATAATAAGGGTAATAATAATAATAATAACGGTAATAATAGTCCCAAGTCGGCCTTATGTTTATTTTTATTTGATAGTAGAGTACCAATAAAGGTGAAACGTGTAAAACACTCTAAACATTTAAATCGTATAACTTGAGAAAAATGTTATCTGAATATCTGAATCTGCAAGCTTTCAGTGGATAATCCGCTAACTTATTGAGTCGTGTTAGACGTGTTGTGAAAAATAGGACACCTAACAGTAATTGATCAATGATTTATATGCATTTGTGTGTGAGTGAGTGTTTTTAAAATTAAAATTGAAACATTACTGAGTAGGAATTTGTGTCCCAACACAAAAATTGGTTCAGGGATCACTGTCTGGCCACCTTGAGTATCATTGAAATAAAAAAAGTACGTATATTTACTTCAAGATTTTCACAAACGGATTCATGGCCTTCATACAAAAATGAGAATATTTTGTGGTAATTTTGTCTTTAACGATTTGCCACAGAATTAGGAATCCAATGATTATATTATATAGTCAATGACCGTAACTTAAATACTTAGTTGCAATTTGTTTCTGTTTGTCTTCGAGAGTGATAGGCAAATGATTTAACTGTGAGTGTAGACGTAAACGTTTGGATAGGTCAGCTCACAACTAAAAATATCAAGAATTTTAAAGAACAATGCAGTTACGTTTTACTAGCCGCTGCGGTTTAATCAACAGGCTGTTTTTGTATTGGTATTCTTTGCAGTCGCCGGTGCAGTCAATGCCAGGAGGTCATTCCCACGTGATCTCGGCATTCCCAGACGTCTTGATGACTTAAAGTGACTTTATTGATTTAATACCGGCAATATTGCATCCTCGCGTGCTATAAAAATGAATACTACTTCGCTAAAAATACCATTTTAAGATCGCTTAGATGCAATATTTTTTCCAATAAAAAAAGTTCACTGCAAATTAATGTATTATTAGTTGTCTGTCTATGCACTGGTCATTATCTCATCACAGTCCTTTTATTGTTATTTTCAGAGAGCTCGATACCAAATACTACCGACATTTTGGGTATTCAGCCACGCTATCACCTTCGATCCGGATTCGCCGGTTTACAGATCAACGAAGACCACGAAACAGTAAGATTTTGAAGATAACTATTTTCATTTATCTAATGCTATTTTGTTCAGATTTCTCAACAAAACGACGAGGACAAATCGTTGGCAAAAACATTATTCACAAAGACGGATATGTCTAGCAGAAAATTTAATAGCACTATTAAAAGTGTTTTCAAGGAAGTCGAAAGTATTCAACAGAAGGCCATTAGGTGTTGCTGGGACAGTATAACACCGAATGACCTGGAGTGCATTCTTTGCAGTCGGTGCATTTTTGACCCAATAACGACGGCTTGTGGTCACACTTTTTGCAAAGCTTGTCTGACCAGGGTTTTAGACCATGGACTATCGTGTCCTTTGTGTATGGCGCCGTTGAGTGTCAAGGATTACTCGAGAGGATCCAGCGTCATTTTAGACCAAGCCATAAAGTTTCTTCTCCCCAAAGAATACAATGAACGGTTGCTAACAAATATGAAGGAAGTTCACATACTGAATAAAAACTCAGACGTAAATGTTGTTTTTTTGTTGTTTCCATGTTACTGAAAGTTCGTGTTGCAGATACCTGTGTTTATTTGCACTAATGCCTTTCCTGGTGTAGCGTGCCCGTTGTATGTTTACGAGCCGAGGTATAGACTGCTGGTTAGAAGATGTTTATTATCACCGACAAGACGATTTGCTATGGCGGCTAAGGAAAGTACTAGCGAAAAATTTGTCTCGTATGGAACGGTCTTGGAAGTCAAAGATGCCGTTTCATTAGAAGATGGAAGTTTTATTCTTACCACAGTCGGTGTGCGGCGATTCAAAGTTCTAACTAAAGGCGAACAGGTACGTCATTACCTAACACCCTCAGTACTCATTTTTAAAGTACGATTTTTACAGGACGGCTACGATACTGCAAAAATACAGGTAATTAAGGACATTGTTGTTTCTTCTGACAAAGTGCCAGAGCTTTTAAACCTGCATCAAAAAGTGTATAACAAAGCCTGTAAGTGGATAATGTCCTTAACCCCTAAAGTCCTTGCCGAAGTAGAGAGGTTGATTGGTCAGATGCCAAACGTCGAAAAGAACTGGTTAACATTGCCTGATGGACCTTCATGGACTTGGTGGTTGATGCCAATCTTGCCTCTAAGTTCACAGTTACAGGTACGTACGACTAATACAATAAATCGTCAATAATTCAGTAATTTTTCTCCTCAGGTTGGATTTCTCAGTACTACTAGTTTAGAAAAACGACTACGTGCAATAGACAAGATGTTGGAGAGAATGGAAATTCGGATGAAGGCTTTAGAACGAAATACTATGAACTGTCTTAATTCAGACGATTCAACTGAATCGTGTAGTGATTCTGAAAGAACATTTGAAATACCTATAAATCATTAAGTTTGTCCATTATATTTGTCTCACTATTCTAACCGCACTGTTAGTTTTCGACAAGTTCGTTTCATCGACCAATGTATGTTTTAAGGTAGATCATCTACTAAAATATTTGTATAAATAAAGTGACGAATTTTCGTACTATGCTGAATACGCTTAAAGACTAATTCAATGAAAGTTCTTGTAATACGTCAAGTGTTTGTTTCGATAAAGGGATAACACGCAAGTTGTTTACGAATTACTCACATTTGATTTTTTTTTTGAAAATTGTGATGAATGCTGTTTTATACCATAGTACCTGAGTAGCTCATATTTTAAAACCGCATTGGATGCCTGGAATGGAGGAGGTATTGCATATTTAAAATTTCTCACTTCTTCAAAAATTGTGATCTACCAGGGAAATTGTTTAACATTCAAGGTAAAAATATAACTATAAATATAAAATTCCCTATTTTACCTAATGTACAATCATTTTATTGTAGGAAATTTTTTGAATATTTACTGTAGATTGTTAGTACTTTATGATACCTAAATACACTATTATTGTTTCATCTGATGGATGTTCTACTGAAATATGACATTTGTGATATCTTTTTCATGTAAACGACCAAAAATTTATTTATTTTTATATAACTAATTTTCTAACTTTTTATTCATTTTTCTGGTAATCTACTTTTTGTTCTCATGATCATTAATATTAACGGTGGATTATTTTTTATTTCTTTTACATAATTTAACTGTTTTGTAAGTTAAATACCTACATATAAGTTGTAGTTTTTAAGTGATTAAATATACTCATGGCTAATTTATTTGAGTAATCCTTGTTCATTTTTAATCTCACTAATGATAATATTTATTTGATAATGTAAGAATAAGTGTTAAAAATCATGCTTATTGTAAAGAGTAAACCAATGAATTTTTGATAATTATTATTTATTTTGTCATTGTGATATTACAATAATTATTTATTATACTGTTTTCCCAAACTATCGATCATAATTGTATTGCAGTCATGATTTAATTGAAAATAAATAAAATTCAATATGGGTTGTTGTTTTATTTGTTAAAATTATGAGCATCTATGGTAGATTTGTTCTTGATTCAACATAACCAATTTCGGAAAACCGAGTTTAATGATGAGTGGACGCAACTAACGAATATTTTCCAGAATGGCGTGACTAAAAAAAACTTACGTTGGTTGTCCTTTACATTCAGTTTTTATTCCCACTCTGTGTCACATGTGTCAGCTTAGATTAAATTTAATTGACCAAGGCTACCTTTTATGGATCGCAGATTAAGGTGGGAGTAATAAAAAATGTCTTCAAGTTGGCGCTTGACAACCAAGCTTTTTTTCACAATTTCCACTAGGTTGCTTTTTCTGTTAGGAAAAGAAACGGATCGTACTGGTTATTAGAATTTAGTAATCGAATTGTTGCAGCTATGTCTAACTCTTTTTACAGCTGTTAGTATTATTTATATTGAAATTTATGTATATATCCCCGTCAAATAGTTAATGGCATCGTTCCAAGAAAATCTTGAATAATTTAATCTTTTTTTGGGGAAAATACGTCATGAGATTACTTGGGTTCGAACTGTGCTTCAAATCTAGGATAATTTCGATGTCACAAAGTGATTTATTGATGAGATGCAATGCACATTTTAAATTTAAATTTTAAATATTGCTTAGGTAGTGTATAAAAGTTTGTTTACTGTTTTGTTGAAGTTTTATTTAGTTATCAGCTTGATATCTTCATAACTGGACTGCTGCATTTATTGTATCAGAAATTATTTTTGTTGAAATGGTATATCGTACAATTGATCCAGTTTTGTATGTTTTGTGTGTTGCCTACGTAACTTTTGCCAAGAAATATGACAAATGTTATTAGAATACAAATTAGATATGTTTTAATGAATTTAATTTGATTATAGTTTACTTTTCTTTTGTGCATGTGTAACCTGTAATCTGTAACCTGTGATTTATGACGCTGTCCCAAAATGTTATTTCCTTTAGTTTTACTACAAATTGTTAAGGTAATATGGATTTTTATCTACAGTTTATACACCTATTTGTAACTTAACGTATGTAGGTAAAAAAGATTGGTCTGAAGAGTTGAAACAGTACTTCCCTCACTGTGGGAAACCTGACGACTGAATGCCTATTATTTTTTTTTTCGCATTACATTTTTCTAGCGGGGCATTTTAAAATAAATTGAATTAATTTTTTCAATTTTGTCATTATTTGCCACTGACATCTTTGCCATTTTTTTTTGGTTCTTGGATGCTGTGATTCACATTTGGTTAATTATAATTTGTCTATATCTAGGGGAGCATCCCCTAGCCTCCTCTAGCTACGGCCTTATGAAATATCGAGAAACGAGTACCAAATTGACCAATGGACTCCATTACTGTACGTCCGTAGATTGTCCTCGATAAGAAAAACGACTTGAAAGTGTGTACATCGGAAGAATGTCACCTAGAAATTAGTTTGATTTGAATACGTTCGATCCTCAAAACAGAGGAACAAAACAATTAACTAGTAAGCTACAATCGACAAAATGTTCTGAATATCATTATTATAATTCTTATTAAACAAAGACGTTTGTATTTTCACATTTTAGAGAAAATGAGATGACTCGTTCTTAATTTGATCAATAAAAAATATGAATGCTATGATGCATCACAAGTAAAAACTCATATTTTGCACATTTTGGGTAGAATTTATTCCGCACAATTTTGAGATAACGTCATCAATTTTTTGGGGGAAATAAACAGATTTATTTGGATTAACAGTTTACCATGCAATGACTTTAAAAGGTCTGCAAGACCTCAAAGTATCCAGTTTTGCAATTCTTGATTTAATCAATAAAATTAATTGACTCAGTCATTAATTTTTTTGCCTCACCCTGTATATGCAAATTCAAAAAATATGAATTGAATGAGAAATCACAAGCACAGACTCTTCATATTTTGTACATTTTAAATAGGATTTATTCAGCAAAATTTTGGGGCGACGTCATCAATTTTTTAGGGGGATGAGCAAATACATTTTGATCAAAAATTTGCTAGGCTTATGATAACTTTAAAACATCTCCAAGATGTCAAAGCATTTGGTTTTGTAGTTTCTGATTAAATCAATAAAATACATTGACGCATTCATTAATTTTTTTGAGTCACTCTGTATATACAAATCCAAAAAATATGTATGGAAAGATAAATCACAAGTACAGACTCATCGTATTTTGTATATTTTAGATAGGATTTATTCGGGAAACTTTTGAGTTGACGTCATTAATTTTTTGGAGGGGATAAGTAAATATATTGTGATTAAAATTTTATCATGCTTACCATAACTGTAAACCATCTGCAAAATTTCAAAGCATTCGGTTTTGTAGATTCGAAATTAAATGTCAAAATGTTGTTTCCTAATTTTGATTTTTACTACGTAACTTTTACTCTATTCTTTCTTTATCACTTGCACAAAAATTGAAATTTTTAACATGCCAGGTTTTTTTCTTATTGAAGATTGTAAATACAATGGCCAAGTTGTAGACTGTGGTTTGAAATAATTTTTGTAATGAAGAAGTATTTGATAACTGTCCTTGTCTTTCAGTTAATAAAAAATCTCTTACAGAAAATTTCCAAACACGCTGCGTGTAACTAACAAATAAGAATGCAATTACATACAGTTTTATTGTTAGGATCAGTACTGTTTATGGGTACTACCGTTCAAAAACTATGGCAGAATTTTAAGTACATTTTAAATTATGTTGTGATAAATGCAGACAAATGAAATTTTAACAATGTGAATTTAGAAAATGTCTTATCATTTCGCATCTAAGTATTACTTTTAAAATGCGATTTTAATTTTTTTGAATTTCGTTGTTGGTCGATTTTTTTTTTCTGAATTTCCATGTTTCAAAATTTTAATTTTTATACTATTTATCGCATTATATTGTTACGAAATAAATCCATACGCCGCCCCGGTACGTTGCCTATGGGTTTTCTAGTATGTGCGGTGACTCATCGTCGCCAACGGCGGCCGGGCGGTGTTCGCTAAAGAAGAGCCTGGAAGCGGAAGTCGCGATGGATATTCCAGAAAGACCTCGATCGCAAAACATCTAGAAGTTTATCTATGGGTTTAAATAGAGGCCACAGCGAATGTTGAGAGAAGCCACTCAAGTTGCGCCGGAATTATTTTGTACATAATCGGGTGTAATTAGATGTGTAAACTTGAGTTACTAAGAAATAAATTGTTGAAATTTAAATTTTGCCTTAGATTCTTTACGGTAATATCAGTACTGAATCTAGCAAAGTAACTCTGATTATATTCGTGTCTTTCATTACTGAAAGTTTTTAAATTGATATGCGGCAAAGTAATAGTTAATATTGAATTGAAATTATTTTTGAATAATGACGATAATCAATAACAAGTTTTTCTTCCAATTAAGTATGTTTGAAAGCAATTCGTACTTCAAAGAACCCATGAATGCCGCATCTAAGTTAATATGCCGCATCCGAGACATCGCTCGAGTTTAAAAATTGTTACCTCAAAGACAAAGATTGCTGTCAAATACTTCAGTACAAAAATTATTGTAGATCATAATCTACAACTTTGCCGGCGATTCATTGTAAAATCTTCAATAATAAAAAAAAACGCATGTTGAAAATTTCAATACACCTTTTGTGCAATAACAAAGACAGATTTTTTTTTGGTAGAAATAAAAAAAACTAGTACAGTAAAAGTTGCTTTGTTATAATCAGTATTGTTTAGTTATATTACAGTTAGAAAACTAAGACAAAATTTTGTATAATTTTTTAAATATGATGTAATAAAAAACCGGAAAAGCAATTTTAAAATTACGAAAATTCTAGAAATAACTCGATTTACTATTAAATTTTAATAAATAAATAAAAATCAATAAAAGCGGAATAATAAAAACGTTGTGATAATTTTAAGATTCATGTATCAACTTCTTCATAAATCTGTGGGTTTTTGAATAATTGATAACACCGCCGCGAATTCCACAAAAATGTACTACTTACGGATTTTGCATGCTGCCAAGTCAAAGCCGAACGGACTTTGGACAAAACTAAACGGAAATAAGTGAAAATTTTATGTTTATTAAACTGGTCTGTTTGTTGAGAGGGATATGTTCTGAAGTTGTTAGTGATAATAATAATATAATAAAAATTATATTAATATTACCAATTCTTTTTTATTGTATTCTGTTTGTAGAAAATACATATATAAAAATTAAGCGTAATTATATACATAAAAAAGCAACAAGTTCGCAATTAATAGAAAACATAGAATTTAAGTACAAAGGAGATCGATTCATATAACGGAGAATTCATTCGTCTTTTCGCCGTAAGGCCTCCTCCTACACCTGTTTTGTAGGTATATTCTAGGAAAAACGCCCTCCGTCGATTCAATTAATTCGTGCTAAGTAATTCAGTAGTGACGCGATCGTCATAACATCTCTTTTTTGATGTAGTGGTGTCCAGTCTTGATCTTTTATATCCATCTCCTTTCTGACATTTTTGCTATGTAGGCACACCAGTCGCATTTGAGTTTTTTAACAAATTCTATTACATCTCTTAATTTAGTTTTTCTTTATTGTGTTACTTGTATTTCGTTCTATTTTCTTCAGGATTACCACACTTCTTTCCATATGTCTTTAGCATTTTTGAAGTA